CCTCCTCTTACATCCCCCCACCTGCTTCTCCTCTGTTTTATCCCCACCTCCTTCTGTTCCTTCCCTCCCTTTCCCTCCCTTCACCTCCTCCTCCTCCCTAACCACCCCTCCTTCTCCACCCTCCATCGCTGCTCTCTCTCCGCCTTCATCCCTCATTCCGCGCCTCCTCCTCTCTAAGCCCGCCTCCTTGTCCTCCTCCTTCATCCCTGCCGTTGCCTCCTTCCTCCTCCTCCCCCAGCAGCAGCGACACCCTGGCTGCCCCGTTCCCGGAGCCCTCGCAGCCCGCGGCAGGAGCGGGGATGGAGCCGGGACAGCTCGGCATGGGCAGCGCGGCGCTCTCGGCTGCTCCCAGCCGCTGCGGGCGGGCGGGCGGGGGGAACCCGGCCCGGGCAAAAGGAGAGGCAAACTGGGACAACTGGGGGCCCAACAGCCAAACTGGGCCTTGCTGGGGACCCTGCCTGGCCACTGCCAGCCCTTGGGGCTCCTCTTGGCACATCCCGGAGTGGGGAACACACAGAAGGCTGCAGGATCCCAGCACTGGCAGGGACTGGGCTGGCTGCGATCATACTGGGAGTGACTGGGACTATAGTGGGTATGTACTGACATCATGCTTGAATCCTTCTGGGATCATGATGGTAGTGAGCAGGAGCCTTTAGGGGGCAATTGTGACCTTGTTAGTGGGAAATGGGATATACTGGGAGTGACTGGGATTGTGCTGAGTGTGACTGGGAGCAGCTGGGAGCAACTGGAATCCTGCTGGGAGCAACTGGGAGTGACTGGCTTCAAACTGGGATCATACTGGCATGCCAGGGCAGTCTGTGATCACACTGATGGAGACTGGGATCCTACTAGCAGTGGCTGCAAACATACTGGGATTAGAGTGAGTGTGATTGGACCCTGACTGGGGTTACTGGGAGCTACATGACTCATATGCTGGGACTAACTGTGGACATAATGAGAGGAACTGGGAGCAACTGGGACAAACCTGGGGGCAAGTGAACCATGCTGAGGTAACTGGGAGTGCCTGGCAATGACTGCCAGAATGTTCAGACCAACTGGGATATACTGGCAGTGTCTGAGACCACATGGGTGGTGACTGAGACCACACTGGGAGTGGCTGGGAATGTGCTGGGGGAACTGGGGACAAGCTGATACTGAGAGAGAATGGGGACCTGCTGGGAAAGACTGGGATCATACTGGGAGTGCCTAGGACTATGCTAGGGACAACTGGGAGAACTGGGAACACGCTGCATGAAACTGGGATGAACTAGGATCTTCCTTGGGGAAAATAGCATCATCATATGGAATGACTGGGAGTGACCAGGCTCATTCTGGGAGCAACTGGGCTCATAATGTGTGTGATTCGGCTCATACTGGGAGGAACTGGGTTCATACTGGGAGCAGCCACTGCCGGCCCCGGGACTCCCCAAAAACACCTCCCGGGGACCCCCGATGTCCCCCCGAGGGCCATGTGCGGCTGGGCTTTGGAGCCCTGCCAGCTGCAAACATCCTTCCCAAAAAACCCCAAAGCCAGGGACCCCCTCCCCGGGCACCTGCGGGATGGGGGGGGCGATGCTCCCAGGGCTGCGGCGACTTCAGGGAGCACCAGGGCCACGAGATTCTCCCTCTCCTCTTCTTCTGCTGCTGCCGCTCGGCCTCTTCCTCCTTCCCTCCTCCTCCTCCTGCTCTGATCCCGAAGGCCAAAGGCCGAACCGTGAGAGGAAAGGGGGCAAGGAAAGGGCAGAACCGTGAGGGGAAAGGGGGCAAGGAAAGGGCGGGAACTGTGAGGGGAAAGGGGGCAAGGAAAGGACGATGGAACCATGAGGGGAAAGGGGCGGGCTCAGGCTAAGGACGAACTGTGAGGGGACACTCTGGGAGGCGGCACTCTGCAAACAGAACTGCAAGGGACTGACAATGAACAGGAAAGAAAGCAGTAAGTCTGAGAGTTTTATTTGCTATCAGATACATCCCACACACCCAGCCCGATACAATCCTCATCCCAGTGCACCAAATTAGGATCCCACTTCTTCCAGTCTCACCCCAACCCCATCTCACCCTGGCAGCTATGGAATCGAGTGAGTTTGGCATGGCATTGAGTTTTTTTGAGGTGGGAAGAAGGCATTTTGAGGGGGGATTGAGCCTTTATGGGATAACAATCAACTGTTTTCAGTGGCATTTGAGTGCTTTTGTAATGACAGATCCATCCCTCTTGGCATTTCTAGTGGAAAGAGATGGAGAAGAGAAAAACATTAAGGCCAAACCAAAAGGACAAGCAGCCAGGTGTGTTCCCAGCATGGATAACAGGGAATGTGGGTCACCAGGGCTGAGCGCAGCGTGGCTCCTGCACTGGGGGATGGAGCTGGAGCAGCGCACGAAGCTCTTCCCACACTCGGGGCACTCACAGGGCTTCCCTTAGCGGTGCCTCCGTTGGTGTTGGGTCAAGTGAGAGCACTGTGAGAAGCTCTTCCCACACTGGGGACACTCGTAGGGCCTCTCCCCGGTGTGGATGCGCCGGTGCCTGACGAGGTGGGAGTTGTGTCTGAATCCCTTCCCGCAGTCGGGGCAGCAGAAGGGCCTCTCCTCTGTATGCCTCTGATAGTGCCTGAGGAGATGCGAGCTGGTCTGAAACCTCTTCCCACACTTGGAACACTCGTAGGGCCTCTCCCCGGTGTGGGTCCTCTGGTGGTTGATCAGGCTGGAGCTGTAGCTGAATCCCATTCCACACTCCCCACACTTGTATGGTGTGAGTGTCTGTCCAAAATTTACCTCATTCTTTGTCTCTTGATCGTCGTGAAAGTTTGAGATCACCGGGGAAAGGAAAAGATCCTGTTCTGAAAATCCAGGTCTGACTGGTCCACTAAGCCGAATTACTGTCTGCGGGTGTGGTTGCTCGTCTCATGGAACATTGCACCCGAGAAAGGGCAGTGTGCTCTCCTTCGCCTGCATCACTTAGCAACACTGGCCCTGGAATTTCTCCACCCTCCTGACTTGGCTGGACTTTCTCTCTGGAATGACCTTCTCGCTGGTCACCACAAAAGACCCTCCATTCACCGTACATCAACCACCATGACAAAGAGGAGAGAAGGTTCTCTCCTCAAGGACTGAGACACGCGATCCCTACATGGAAAAGCCCCCTCTTCTTCCCTAAAAGACTGAGGCTGAGATCCCTACCACAGGGTGGGGGAAGGTGTGTGCAGGAAAGGCCCGGTAACCAAAGCAAGTTTGCAAGCGACCACTGGACCGAGAAGGCAATGGCTCTTGCCTACTGCTGATGGACTTTCTGTACGATGCCCACTGCTGACGCCTACTGCTGACAATGCCTTCTGCACGTCTGGTAGGTATACACCTCCTTTCTCTTCTCTCTCTCTCTTTTTTCCTTATTCTTTCTCTTCTCTTCATTCCCCTTCTCCCTAACATATTTTGCTGTAGTTATTCAATAAAAGCACTTTTGCTTTGATTTTACTGCAAAATCCCCTTGTCATGTCAGTTTTTGCACCCAGAGATCAATGAAAAGAACCTCCACGAATCTTGTCCTCCAGGACGGATCGTGACACTATGTCTGTGCTAGAGGCAACTGGGTACACCCTGGGAGGAAATGGGACCATGCTGGGGACAACTGGGATCATACTGGGAGCAACTGGGACCACACTGAAGGTGACTGGGGTCATACCGGGATCATATTGGAAGTGACCAGGAGCAGGCTGAGAACAGCTGGGACCATGCTGGGGCAACTGGGATAAACAGGGAATAACTGGAATCATGCTGGAGGTGACTGGGAGTTGCTGTGAGCAACTGGAATCATGGCGGAAGATACTGGGAGCAACTGGGGGTGTGTGGAAGCACACTGGGGGCAACTGGGATACACTGGGAGAGGCCAGGAGTGACTGGGATCACAGAGCAACCATAAAGGAAGCCACTGGAATAATACTGGGACTATCTGGGAGTGACTGGGATCGTACTGGGAGTAACTGGAACCATACTGGGTGACTGGGACCTTAGTGGGGGCAAAGGGCATTGTACTGAGAGTACTTGGAGTGACTGAGATGATACTGGGGGTGACTGGAACCATACTGGGAGAGGCTGGAACCATCCTAGGGGTGAATGCTAACACCTGGGACCATAGTGGAATCATACTGAGAGTGACTGGGATCATACTGGTTGTGACTGGGAGCCACAGGGCCCATGCTGGGAGTGACCTGGGCACCCCTGGGGGGAACTGGGGCAACTGGCCCAGCTGGGGCTCAGGGTTGTTCTCCCCCAGGGCTGCCCCAGGTCCTGCTGCCACCTCTGACCCCACAGAACCAAGGGACAGGGATAGGGGAGAGCAGAGGGACAGGAGACAGGGACAGGTGACAGGGGACAGGGACAGGAGACAGGGGACAGGGGAGAGCTGAGGGACAGGTGACAGCCAGGGAACACGGCCTGGCCGAGGGACACTGAGCTCCAGCAGTTGGGGCTGTTGCCCCTGGGCTCCCAGTACAGCCCAGGAGCAGAATCCCCTCCAGAAACTGTGGTTTGCTTTCAGCTTTGCTCTGGAACATTCCCCAGGAGCCCCTGCAGCGGCTGCAGCCCGGCTGGGTGCCCGGGGCCACCAAAGCTGCTCCGGCAGTGCCCTCCTGCCCCGGGCAGGGCACAGAACAGCCAAGGAAAGGCTCATGCTGGGCTCAGGGCAGGGACAGGGCACTCCCCTGGCGCTGCCACGGGCACAGCAGAGCCGGCCTGGGCACAGGATTGGCATCCATGTCCCATGGAATCCCAGCAGGGATTACGTCTCATTGCACTGGTCATCAATCCAAATAATTTCCCCATGGAATTCCCATGGCAATGCCTTGGGGGGAGATCCATCCATGGAATTCTCACCTGACTGAGACTAAGATCCGGCCATGGTAGTTCCATGGCAATTTCTGCCTTCCCAAGACTCCCATTCCTGAATCCCACACTCCCACAGGAACTCCCCTCCTCCTCCCACACCCACCTTTGTGCTCCAGAGCCTCCCGACCATGTCTGATGGATTTTGGGAGCTCGTCCACACAGCTGTGTCCCAGGTAAGGCTTCATCTGCTCCACCAGGATCCCTTTGGATTCCCAGCACCTCTGGGTGATCCAGGTGGCACCATTGGACACTGCACAGCTCCCGGATCCCAGCTGGAAGGAGATGAAATCCCACCCCTCGCAGCCGTACCCGTGGGATCCATGGACAGGAGGTCACAGCTGGAAACCACCTGCAGCGTGGAGAGACCTGGGAACGAGGAGAGAACGGACCCAGGGATTCGTGTCCCAGCCCCAGGGAGCCCCTTGGAGCTCCCTGGATTCCCATTCCAGCCCCACGGATCCCCCCAATCCCCAGAGATCCCAGCCTAGCCCCTCAGAGTCCTCCATTCCCACAGATCCCAGCCCAGCCCCCGGCTCCCCCCAGTCCCCCCGCTCTGGTTGTACCAGCCCCGTCTCCAGGGCACTGTCGGCCATGGGCCGGATCCTGTCCTTGAGCCGGGGCTGGCTATCCCAATATCCCAGCCCTGGCTATCCCAATATCTCAGCCCTGGCTATCCCAATATCCCAGCCCTGGCTATCCCAGTATCCCAGCCCTGGCTATTCCAATATCCCAGCCCTGGCTATCTCAATATCCCAGCCCTGGCTATCTCAATATCCCAGCCCTGGCTATCCCCATATCCCAGCTCTGGCTATCCCAATATCCCAGCCCTGGCTATCCCAATATCCCGGCTCTGGCTATCCCAACATCCCAGCCCTGGCTATCCCAATATCTTGGCTCTGGCTATCCCAATATCCCAGCTCTGGCTATCCCAATATCTCAGCCCTGGCTATCCCAATATCCCAGCCCTGGCTATCCCAGTATCCCAGCCCTGGCTATTCCAATATCCCAGCTCTGGCTATCTCAGTATCCCAGCCCTGGCTATCCCAATATCCTGGCTCTGCCTATCCCAATATCCCAGCCCTGGCTATCCCAATATCCCGGCTCTGGCTATCCCAACATCCCAGCCCTGGCTATCCCAATATCTTGGCTCTGGCTATCCCAATATCCCAGCTCAGCTCCCCCCACCATCCCCGCTCTCTGTGGCTCCATCCGGCCCCGCTCGCTGCCCCAGCGCTCGCAGGGGGTCCTGTCCACGTCCCCCACAATCAAGGACTGGGGGACCCCCGGGCCGTGTTGTATTGTGTTTTATTTTCCTTGTTCTCAGTTTGTAATGGTTTCACTGATGTAGCCTCACTTCTTTCCTGAAAATGCTTTGCCCCAAGTTACTTCCCTCCTCCCCCGTGCCCATCCTCCCTGTGCCTGCAGAGCCATTCCCCAGTCTCCTCCCTGCAGCCCTGTCAATCACTCGGCCTCCCTTCCCCTCTTTCCAGAATCTTCCCCCAGGAGCGTCGAGTGATTGGGCAGAGGTCAGGGCCCTCCCTTAAGGTGCTTCCTAATTTGTGATCCTTCATGTCCATCTCCCCGCTTTGCACACCCCCGTTTCCCCCATTGGTTGTTCCATGTATCTTTCCCTTGTTTCCAGCCCCGTTTACAGCCTGGTGCAGGGCTGGGTGTGTGCTCTGTGCAGCAGGTTCCCCTGGGAGTCAGAGCTGCCCTGAGCCCTGAGATAAACCTTGGCTTTACCCCTGCAGAGAGTCGGCCCTTTCTTCCTCCAGCAGCGTCTGCCCGCTTCTCCTCTGGTTTTGGGTTGGCAGCCCAGCCGCTCTCCTGTACCCCAGGCACAGGGGAGTGTCCCCCGCAGTCGACCGTGCCGGGCTGGTCAGGCAGTGACCGAGCGGGCACTGAGAGGACGCGGCGACAGGGCCGGGCTCCGACAACGCCGCTTCCAGGTACTGCAGGGAGAGCAGAACTGGGGGGACCCCGAGATCTGGGGGAGCTGGGGGCTGAAAGTGAGAGTTGGGAGATCCAGGGGGGTCAACAGGCCAAGGAAAGGGGGACTTGAAGGGCTGGCAGAGCTGGGCAGGAGGTTCAGGGGCTCAGAGTCAAGGAAAGGGGGTGCAGGGACTGGGAGAGCTGGGATGGGGTGTCCAGGGAATCCTGTGCCCAGGAAAGGGGGTGCTGGGATATCCTCAGTGTGAAAAAAAGGAGGGGCTGGGGGCTGGGAACTGCAGGAATGGGGGCCCAGGGGTCCCAGGTCAGGGAAAAGGGTGGGGATGGGGGCTGGGAGAGGTGTGGGCCAGGAAAATATTGAGTTGGTGCCGGATAAGGGGGTGCAGGGGGGTCTCAGGGTCATGGAAATGGGGAGGCAGGGACATGGAGAGGTAGAAGGGAGTTCCAGGGGGCCTTGAGCCCAGGAAAGGGGAGTCCAGGGTTTCCCAAAAGAGGAGAGTAACAGGATGCGGACACCCAGGGTGTTGGGGAGGGCGAGTTCAGGGGATCTCTGGTTTTGCAGGAGGGTGGGGCTGGGGGCTGGGAAAGGCAGGAATGGGGGTCCAAGGTGTTCCAGGTTGTCCCAGGGTCAGGCACACGAGAAGACTGGAGAGATGTGGGGAGGGGGAGCTCAGCCCAAATATGCCGAGGGGTGCATGGGTTTGGGGTTTTTTGGGGGGATGTTTGGAGCTGGCAGGGCTCCAAAGCTGAGCCACAGATGGCCATCGGGGGTCCCTGGGAGGTAGTTTTGGGGGGTCCCGGTGTGGGTGGTGGCAGAGCCCTGGCGGGGGGTGGGGGGATGCAGGTCCCCCCGGGGTGGGGGTTGGGCTTCCCGGCCGGGCTCTCCGAGCTCTGCTGGGGCCACGTGGGGACTGCGAGTGAGCGGCGGCACCAGCGGGGGGACACCGGTTTTGGGGAGCCCTGGGAGAGCCACGGCTTCCCTGAGCCTGAGCCCAGAGAGAGGAGAGCCCCAGAAGGGCAAAGCGGGGACCCCGAGAGGGGGGAACCCCTGGGATTGCCGGGACCCCGGCAGTGGGGGGTGCTGGGGCTGGAGGGGCGGGATGGCCAGGAAAGGGGTTAAGGGGTGCCGGTGCCAGCAGTGGCTGCTTCCAGTGTCAGTGCAGTCACTCCCAGTCATTCCCTGTGATGATGTCATTTGTCCCCAGAATGATCCCAGTTGCTCCCAGTTCCTCCCGCTTCCATCCAGTGTGTTCCCAGTTCTCCCAGTTGCTTCTAGCATTGCCCAAGTCACTCACAGTACGGTACCAGTCTCTCCCACCAGGGCCCCAGTCACTCCCACTTGCCCCCAGCACATTCCCAGTTCTCCCAGTCTGGTCCCAGTCTCCATCTGTATGGTCTCAGACACTCCCAGTATAGTCCAGTTGCCCTGAACATTCTGGCACTCATTGCCAGGCACCCCCAGTTAGCTCAGCGTGGTTCATTTGTCCTCAGTTTTACCCCAGTTGCTCCCAGTTCCTCTTAATTATGTCCCAAATTGGCTCCCAGAATGGCCTGGTAGCTCCCAGTAACCCCCAGTCACTGGTAGCTTCCAGTCACACCCACTCTAATCCCAGTATGATTGCAGCCACTCCCAGTCTGATGCCAGTGCCTCCAGTGTGATGCCAGTTGCTCCCTGTCAATGCCAGCATGACCCCAGTAGCCTCCAGTATGGTCCCAGTGACTCCCTGTCTTTCCCAGTTTGTCCCAGTTCTTACATCTGGTTCCCAGTCATTCCCACTTCTTCCCAGTTGCTTTCAGCACAATTCCAGTTGCTCACAGCCAATCCTATTAAATCCCACCATGATTCCAGTCACCCACAGACTGATCCCAGTTACTCCCAGCATGGGCCCAGCTGTTCCCAGTGTGCTTCTGTGGCTTCACTATGATAGCAGAAACTCCCAGTATGGTCCCAGTTGGACACTGTTGCCCCTGCTCTAGTCCCAGTCACTCCCCAGATGATCCCAGTCCCTCCCAGCATGGCCCCACTCACTCCCAGTTGCCCCAAGGGTGGTCCCACTTCTCCCCAGAATGGTCCCAGTTGTTTCCAGTGTGGTTCCAGTCCCTCCAGGATGGTCACAGACATTCCCAGTATATCCCAGTTGCCCCCAGCACGTCTGTAGTCATTTCCAGGCACTGCCAGTGGCCCCAGGAAGGTGTTAGTTATCCCAGTGTGATCCCCCAGTCATGCCCAGAATATCCCAGTTGCCTCCAGCATGCATCCAGTCCTTCCCAGTTCCTCCAGTTTGCTTGCAGCATGATCCCAGTTCCTCTCAGGTGCTCCCAGTAGCCCAAAGGATGATCCCCCAGTCACTCCCTTTCAACACCAATATGATCCCAGTAAGCTCCAGTTTGATCCCCAGTCACATGCCAGCCCCCCCCAGTGTGGTCCCAGTAGAATCCCAATTGCTTCCAATCTCTACCAGTATGGTCCCAGCTGCCTCCAGCATGGTTCCCGTTGCTTCCTAGATCAGCCCAGTCAGTCCCAGTATGATGCCATTTGCTCCCAGCATGCTCCCAGTTGCTCCCAGTCAGGCCCAGTCTGGGGGATGATGTGCAGGGTGTGTTCCCAGTCACTCTCAGATACTCCCAGTATTAGTCCAGTCCCTCCCAGTGTGATCCAAAGATGAGCCCAGTGTGCTCCCAGTCCCTGCCAGTAAGAACCAGTTGTGCTCCACATGGTTCCAGTTGCTCTCTTTCAGCCTGCCTTTTGTTCCAGTCACTCCCAGTTATCTCCCAGTGTTCCCCAGTTCCCTCCAGCATGTTCCTAGTCACTCCCAGTTCCTTACAGTATGATCCCGTTTGCTGCCACCCACTCCCAGTCAGCCTCAGTGTAGTAACATTCATGGCCAGTATGTTCCCAGTCACCTCCAGCATGTTCCAAGTTCATTCCAGTATAAGCCCACATGTTTCTAATCACCCCCTGCATGTTCCCAGTTACTCCCAGTACTTCCCAGATGGGTTTTTGGGGGATGTCTGGAGAATGAAGAAGTGCAAGGCTGAGCGGAAAAGGCCCCTTGGGGGGACATCGGGGGGTGGCGGTGGCGGCTGCCGGCAGAGGCAGCCTGGAGGAGCAGAGCCCTGTGTCCCCCAGGAGCCCAAAGTGGGGAGCCCAGAGAGGGGGAGCACCGCCATTGGCGGGAGCCTCAAGAGCCTTGAGAGGGGCAGGGGGGACTGCTTGGAGCCCCTGAAGCCCAGAGCAGAGAATGAGGGGAGAAGGGACCCCAAAAGGGAGCCCAAAAAGCCCCGGCATCCCTGAATGGGCAGAGGGAAGAGACGGGAGAGCGTTTGGGATTGCCGGGACTCCCAGCAGCCTGGGGAGGGCAGGCACCGAGGAGAAGGGGGGCCCCCAATGCAAGTGTGACTCCCAGCAGCTGGGACGGGAGAACCCTGAACAGCAGAGGGGAGGAACCAGGGACAGGGAATTCCTGGAAAGCTTTTTTGGGTCTCACTCTTAGTGTTTGGGAGGTTTTTCTGGAGCCCAGATGGCCAGTGACTTGTAGAGATGGACTTGGGCAGAGGAACCTTCAAAGTCAACGTGCTCATTCTTTGTTTTCCCCAAACCAGGATTTCCCATTGCTAGCCCTCGGTGAGGCTGTGAGGAAGAGGAAAATGCCCCGGAACACTGAGGCAGGTGAGGAGGAAGTCAGTGCCCCTTTCCCCCTCTCTCCTGCTCCATCTCCCAGCCCAGCACAGCCCTGGCTGCAGAACAGCCCTGCTGCCTTGGCCATCCTGCCAGGAACACCCTGGGGGCATCTCCTTGCCCTTGAATGTGGCACGGAGGCAAATGCCATCCTCTCCTTGTCCTTCCTCCCCCAGAGCAGGAGCTGAGCATGGAGAGCAGGGAGGACAAATCTCCGCGGCAGAACCTTGTGGCAGAGGCCGTTTTGAGCGGCTCCACGGCACAGGAACCCAACGGGGAGGAAAAGCCCCGGAGATGCCGCACCAGGAGGGGCTGCAAACACAGATCACAGGGATCTGAGGGGGAAAGACCCAGCCTGGGCCGGGAAGGCAGCCAGAGATGGAGCCAGAGCTTGGAGCTGGTGGTCAATGAGCAGCTCCATGATGGGGAGAAGCCCCACACCTGCATGGAGTGTGGGAAGAGCTTCAGCAGGAGCTCCCACCTGGTCAGGCACCAGAGGATCCACACTGGGGAACGGCCCTACGAATGTGATCAGTGCAGGAAGAGGTTTCAGACCAGCTCCCATCTCCTCCTGCACCAGCGCACGCACACAGAGGAGAGGCCCTTCTGCTGCCCCGACTGCGGGCAGAGCTTCAGGCGAAACGCCCATCTTGTCGTGCACCGACGCATCCACACGGGGCAGAGGCCCTACGATTGTGAGGAGTGTGGGAAGAGCTACAGCCACCGTTCCAGCCTGATTGTCCACCAAAAGATCCACACTGGGGAGAGGCCCTACGAGTGTTCCAAGTGTGGGAAGGGGTTTCGGATCCGCTCCCATCTCCTCCGACACTATCAGAGTCACACAGAGGAGAGACCCTTCTGCTGCCCCGATGCCTGGGGGCTCAGCCAAAGCTCCCCAGAGCGAACGCAGAGGTCCCGGAGGGATCCCAGTGCCAATCCCATTTCCAGTCCTGTTTCTGATCCCAGTGCTGGTCCCAGAGTGATCCTGGCACTGATCCCGGTCCCGGTGCCAGCCTTGGTCTCTGTCTCAGTCCCAGAGCACTCCCGGTGCTGATTCTGCTTCTAGTGTCAATCTCAATCCCAAAACGGTGCTGGTCCCAATCTTGGTCCCAGAGCAGTGCCATTCTCAGTGTCAGTGCTGGTCTCAGTCTCGTTCTCAGGGCGGTTCTGGACCTTGTGCTGCTACTGGTGCTGGTCTTGGTCCCGGAGTGCTCCCAGAGCGCTGCCAGTCTCGGTGCTGATTCCAGTGATGATCTCGGTCTCAGTCCTGGAGGGCTCCCGGTCTTGATTCTTGTCCCGGTCCCAGAGCAGTCCTGGTGCAGGTGCCGGGTTCCAGTCTTGGTCCCGGTCCCGGTCCTGAAGCACTGCTGGTGCCAGTCCCAGTTCCAAAGCGCTCCTGATGCCAGTCCCAATGTCAGTCTTGGTGCCAGTCCCAGTGTCAGTCTTGGTCCCAGTCTTGGTCCCAGTGCCAGTTCTGGTGCCGGTTTTGGTCTGGGTCTCAGTCCTAGTCCCGGTGCCAGTCCTGTAGCGCTGCCAATCTCAGTTCCAGTGTCGGTCTCAGTCTTGCTGCTGGTGCCAGTTCTGCTGCTGGGTTTGGTCTTGGTCCCAGAGAATTTAGGCCTATTTGGGTGATTTTAGGCTAAACTGGGCAGGTTTAGGGTGGGTTTCAGATCTCTTGCAGTCATTTCAAGCCTTTTAGGGTGGATTTTAGGCCCCTTTGGCTGATATTAGGCCAAACCTTGTGGGTTTTGGGTCCCTTTGGCTGATTTTCGGCTGAATGTGGTGGGTTTGAGGATGGATTTTAGATACCTTTGGACAATTTCTGGCCAAATGTGTTGGGGTTTGTGCCCATTTGGGTGGTTTTAGGATAAGTTGGGCAGTTTTAGAGTGGATTTTAGATGCCTTTAGATGATTTCAGGCCCGTATGTGTGGATTTTAGGCCTCTGGGTAATTTTACGTTGAACCAAGCCTTTTTATGGTGATTTTAGGTCCCTTTGTGTTATAGATGGCTAACGAGATGATGGGCTCTCACAATGAAGGGATGAATACTGTGTGAATATTAAGAGAAGCTTTATTGATCTTCAGGCAGGCTGTACCTTCCTCCTACCTCAGCCAGTGGGGAAAGGAGGAGGGCAACGTGCGGCCAGGAGCTCAGGATAAAAGGAGGCTGTGTCCTCTGAAACGTCAAGAGAGAAAACCCTGTGGGTGTGTGCCCTGATGGATTCTCTCCCTTTATTCCAATAAAGTTGAAGGACTCTTCTGTCTCCTTTATGGACACTGGGTTTTCATAGCCTGATTTTCTGTGCATGACACTATGGAACGTCACGGAACCAAGGAGCTGTTGTGGCACATCAGAGCCCCTCTGGAGCAAAGAAACCATTGCTGACAGTACAGAAACTCATGGAACCAAGGGGCCATTGTGACAGTGCAGATCCAAGGAGACCATGGTGGCACCATGGAACCTCAGGGAAGCACAGAGACCATTGTGACACTGTGACACTGGGGAACCTCATGGAGCCATGGGTCAGTTGTGACAATGCAGTCCAAGGACACCGTGGTGACACTGGGGAACCTCATGGAGCCATGGGTCAGTTGTGACAATGCAGTCCAAGGACACCGTGGTGACACTGGGGAACCTCATGGAGCCATGGGTCAGTTGTGACAATGCAGTCCAAGGACACCGTGGTGACACTGGGGAACCTCATGGAGCCATGGGTCAGTTGTGACAATGCAGTCCAAGGACACCGTGGTGACACTGGGGAACCTCATGGAGCCATGGGTCAGTTGTGACAATGCAGTCCAAGGACACCGTGGTGACACTGGGGAACCTCATGGAGCCATGGGTCAGTTGTGACAATGCAGTCCAAGGACACCGTGGTGACACTGGGGAACCTCATGGAGCCATGGGTCAGTTGTGACAATGCAGTCCAAGGACACCGTGGTGACACTGGGGAACCTCATGGAGCCATGGGTCAGTTGTGACAATGCAGTCCAAGGACACCGTGGTGACACTGGGGAACCTCATGGAGCCATGGGTCAGTTGTGACAATGCAGTCCAAGGACACCGTGGTGACACTGGGGAACCTCATGGAGCCATGGGTCAGTTGTGACAATGCAGTCCAAGGACACCGTGGTGACACTGGGGAACCTCATGGAGCCATGGGTCAGTTGTGACAATGCAGTCCAAGGACACCGTGGTGACACTGGGGAACCTCATGGAGCCATGGGTCAGTTGTGACAATGCAGTCCAAGGACACCGTGGTGACACTGGGGAACCTCATGGAGCCATGGGTCAGTTGTGACAATGCAGTCCAAGGACACCGTGGTGACACTGGGGAACCTCATGGAGCCATGGGTCAGTTGTGACAATGCAGTCCAAGGACACCGTGGTGACACTGGGGAACCTCATGGAGCCATGGGTCAGTTGTGACAATGCAGTCCAAGGACACCGTGGTGACACTGGGAACCTCATGGAGCCAAGAGTCCACGGTGACTCTGTGGGGCCTCACGGAACTGAGGAGTCCATTGCGACTGACAGGCAAGATGTCTTTACCAATGATTGGGTGGGTGAAGGTAGGGGTGTTAACATCTTTGAAATGGGTCTTAATGTCTCTACTAACATCAAGCAACAGTTTTATTACAGAGCCCAGAGAGCTTGGCTCCTGACACAGACAAGTGGGTCTGCACGAGCTTGAGTTTCTGATGTTTGGGTGAAAATGACAGGTTCAAGAGGGGAATATGGGGTAGGCAGTTCAGGACCCTGTGGGTGTGAGCCCTGATGGATTCTCTCCCTTTATTCCAATAAAGTTGAAGGACTCTTCTGTCTCCTTTATGGACACTGGGTTTTCATAGCCTGATTTTCTGTGCATGACACTATGGAACGTCACGGAACCAAGGAGCTGTTGTGGCACATCAGAGCCCCTCTGGAGCAAAGAAACCATTGCAACTATCTACAAAATCCTCTACATTTCCTTTGTTTGTATCTCGGGCAGATTAATCTGGCCGTGGCCCTTATCCAGGAGCCAGCTTGTTACAAAGCTCTCAACACCCGGTCTCGGTTCTGGTCCTGGTCCCAGAGCAGTCCCGGTGCAGGTGCTGGGTTCCAGTCTCAGTCCTGGTCCTGGTCCTGAAGCATTGCTCATGCCAGTCCCAGTTCCAAAGGGCTCCTGGTGCCAGTCCCAGTGTCAGTCTTGGTCCCAGTCTTGGTCCCAGTGCCAGTTCTGGTGCTGGTTTTGGTCTGGGTCTCAGTCCCAGTCCCGGTGCCGGTCCTGTAGCGCTGCCAATCTCAGTTCTGGTGTCGGTCTCGGTTTTGCTGCTGGTGCCAGTTCTGCTGCTGGGTTTGGTCTTGGTCCCAGAGAATTTAGGCCCATTTAGGTGATTTTAGGCCGGACTGGGCAGGTTTAGGGTGGGTTTCAGATTTCTTGCAGTCATTTCAAGCCTTTTGGGGTGGATTTTAGGCCATTTTGGCAGATTTTAGTTTGAGGGTGGATTTTGGTTCCCTTTGGATGATTTTAGGCCCATTTGGGTGAGGTTTGGGCCCATTTCGGTGATTTTAAAATAAGTTGGGCTAAAACTGCGTGGATTTTAGATGCCTTTGGATGATTTTAGGCCCGTATGGGTGGATTTTAGGCCTCTTTGGGTAATTTTAGGTTGAACTAAGCCTTTTTATGGTGATTTTAGGTCCCTTTGTGTTATGGATGGCTAACGAGGTGATGAGCTCTCACAATGAAGGGATGAATACTGTGTGAATATTAAGAGAAGCTTTATTGATGTGTAATTCTGTTATTGCAGTCTGTTGTTTAGATGTCCCCTGTTCTCCCCACAGTGCCCTTTCCCCCGTATTGTTACCGTCACACAGCCTGAGTCATCCAGGACAGGCAGAAAGAAGGCACGGACAGAAACTTGTTCCTAGGGGAGGGGCGTGGCATGACAGCACTGACCCTCCAATCAAGTTACAGGAAAGCAGACTCCACCAATCAAAAGCAAAGAAGAGTTGACTGACAGACTTTGGGAGGGGCCAGGGTTGGCTGATGCAACCCCAGGGTATGAAAGGCAAAGTGTCCATCTTGAAGAGGAGCCAGTCACGAGGTGGGCAGCCAGGAGGGAAGCTGCCAGGCCTGTTTTTCCTTATTTAGTCCTTTTCTTGTAAATAAACCTTTTAAAATTTTGTAAAGTGAGCAGTCATTTCTCACCGTAACCAGAGGTTCCTTTACTGGAGTTTGGTGCACAGGAGAAAACACCAACCATATATTCTCAAGAGGTGAAAATGACACAAAATTTTACTGGCAAAGTACAGAAAATGAAGAAACTTTGGAAAAAGATGTAATAAAACATCCAATTTCACATAAAACATTTACCATAGCAGTAACTTCATTAACTCAGCCCATTACACCTGCAAACCTTTGAACACTTGAATTGCTGAGGTACCCAAAAAATGTTCCATATCAAGAGCATTAGAAGACAGAGAGACAGGAAGAGAGAAGCTCTGCAGAAAGAAATGCACATGGCTACCAACTGCTAGGTTCCAGTGTGGCTGAGACACAAAGCCAGGAGAAGGCAGGGTACGGACCATAGGCTGAGCACCTGCTCCGTGTTTTAAGCCCCTGGGCCTTGGTGGGCCTCCCCCCAAGTGGGACTTGTGATGGTTCAGGCAATCAGAGCCTGGGTTA